ATTCAAATCGTCCTTACGACACCGGTCCAGCTGCTCATAGGACGGACAGACTAAGAAAAACTCAAAATTGAAAATTGCCATATTCAGATGAACTGCTTACAAACCTTACCAAATGGTTTCCAGCTATAAAAAACCACCTATAACCCCAGGAATTATGTTATTTATGCTGGACGAGCCCCCAAGTATGATACGTCCCCCTCTAGGGGTAGAGGAAAACAACACACACCAGTTGGAATTGGTATAATCATAAGGGGTTTATTTTAGATAGCAGGGTAAACAAAATGGCAGGCATGCAGCCTGGAACAAACAAAAAGGCCAAAAGGGCACAGGTTGATAAATAACCAAACAAAAGGAGGTCTCTAAAAAGGAGTCTAATTGCATACAAGGAAAATAAATACTAATACACTAAATAAGGAACGAAACAAAACCTCACTTTAAAAGTGATACAACTAACACAATGAGTCTGTACAAAAACACAGCTAAACTAAAGGCAACAGTCACAAAATCCTAAGCTACTCTAAACACTAACTAAGCTACTCTAGACACACTACTAATACAAACAAGTTTTACCACAGTTAACAGAATTCTCTAAGAGCAAGTAGCGAGAGGCGTCTGTCCACATGTCAGAGCCTCCAGAGTGATAATTGTCCCCAGGCTTTGTAGTCATCTCCAGCAGGTGTGCGCCGGCTGTGCGCTGCGGTTGGAGTGCGTCGGGCCCGGTGTGTTCCATTCACAATCTTCAGGAGGCGGACCAGGAGATGGCAGCCAATCACGTCAGGGCAACCGCACAGCTCATTTACATACAACACAGATTAACACAATAAAGACGACCAGGAAGGCGACAGTCGTAACAGTGATGTCCCAGCTAGAGTGTAGGACAGCTTGACATTTGCCTTCATATTTTAAAAAAAAACTGCCATAATTCCCAAACCCTACATTCCTGTGACACAATTTTTCATGACAAACTTAGGAAAACATCTCGTAGCTTGAAAACTGACAAATAATTAAGCAAAAAATAATTAAACAAAATGCCTCTTGAGGGCATGAAGTGACAACAACTTTCAACATGTCTCCATTAAAGCCCATTGTAATTTCAGGCTGATATTGATTCTTGCTTTGAAATCTGTTACGGTTCTTCCACAAAACGTTCACATGTAAGAGGTTCATCTCTCATTCAGAACAATGGAAACCTGTGATCTCTGGACACCTCGTTAGCTCAAATATAAACACCTGTGTCATGGAACACGATGATGTCATAACTCCAACTGACATGCTCAGAAAAGCAGACTTCAGATAATGGTTAATGGTCCTGCCCTCAACAGCTCTACGTCAATTATGGGGTGTCATCATATGCCGTTTCCATGGGAAATAAAAGACGATGTCGCTATACATTAACTCCTATGAAAATGTTCAAAAAGTGCTCAAACTTCACATGTGTGCTAACAGTCCAGCCGTGAAGACATCTACGGGACAGTTTTGAGATTTCTTCAAATGCCGTTGCCATGGCAACACAATGCTCGCCATGAAACACGTTTTTCTCATAACTTCAGTGAAAATGCTCCAAATGGCCCAAAACTTCACAGGTTTGGTAACGATGCAGCCATCAACGCATCTAAGCGTATTATGGGGTGTCATCAAATGCCGTTGCCATGGCGACATACCACTCGCCATGAAACACGATGTCGATGTAAGTCCAATGGACACGGTGAAATCGTCCCCCAATCTTCACTTGCATACCACCAGTCCATGCCTCGACAGCTCTACGCCAAATCTGAGATCTCACCACATGCCGTTTCTATGGAAACGCATCCCTCCCCATAAAACATGATGTCGCTATAACTCCTATGAAAATGTTCAAAAAGTGCTCAAACTTCACATGTGTGCTAACGGGACATACCATTGCCATGGCAACACAATGCCCGCCATGAAACACGGTTTTCTCATAACTTCAGTGAAAATGCTCCAAATGGCCCAAAACTTCACAGGTTTGGTAACGATCATGTAGCCATCAACGCATCTAAGCGTATTATGGGATGTCATCATATGCCGTTGGCATGGCGACAGATCATTCACCATCAAGTTAGTTCAAAAGTTTGCAGTTCAAATATTCTGCTGCTTTTCCAAGCCTTTTTACTTTGTTTTCTTCTCTCATCACACATTCAAGCCCCCAGTGTTCAATCTAAATTCTTCACTTTCTTCTTACACATTACATTTCAGCATAGCAGTTTAGCATCAGATGTTCAGCATAAAGCATTCTCACTAGCAATTTCTTCAGGAATTGCATTCTCTAGCTTATTTATTCTGACCCCCTCAGAAAATAACTGGCCCCAGCCTGGCTCTCCCAGTCACATTGGTCTAGAACCGCCACTGTCCCGAGCTGCGTCTCACTTCTTAAAAACGTCCCTCCCACCAGGGAAGCATGGAGAGACGCAAGGAAACCACAATAAGGGAGAAGAAGCAGGGAAATTCGTTTTAAGAGCAATGGGACGTGCTTTCCTCGGAGCGTCACGTGAAGCGACGTCCGTTTGTGATGAAAAAACACAGGACACAGAGGAACGGCGAGACAGCAGTGTTTGGAACAAAGCGGTATAAAACATGGTTTTAACTGGCGCTAACGGTCGGGAGTGCCCAGCAGCTGCTCTTCTGAGAGGAACTGCTCTGACAGCTCTCTCTACTGGGAAACAGCTAAAAGTCCTTCCATTGGTAAACAACGCTACACAATTTCCCCCAGTCTGAGAGTAAAAGCTTTCTCGAAGGTTCGTTTTGCTTTCTCACAACGTTACAATGTTAACTTTAACCTTAAGTTTGCTAGGAGGCTATTGTTACTTCCCTTAACAAGAGCTAGCTGTCTTAGCTAACAACAGTTAGCAGCTAACGTTTTCTGCAGTTTGTTTCCCCTGAAAAACGTGATGTAGTTATTTAAGGGTGAGTTCACTTAACTATCGTCATCTTACAAGTTGAGAGAGTTCATTTTTGTTTAAAATTGTCCATGTAATGAACGTTAGAGGTTTGGTGTTGAACATGAAGTTAGCTAACGTTAGCTCACTCTACCAAAGGTTGGCATGTTAAGCTGTGCTTTCTGTGGCAGCTAGCTTAATACAAAGAGGGGTTTGATGCTGGTGTAAACTTATTTTTACGAATGTGTGTTAATCTACCTATTGTTGAAGAGATGCAAAACATACTGTACATGAGTTGGGTCCAACATATACTTTGGGTAATGTTACTTTGCTGCTAAAAAATGAAACGTACAGTATGTACACACTGCTCTGGTATTAATTATCTTGTAAAATGTAAGTCTCCCTTTCTTGTCATCGTTCAGGCTTTGCATTTGAACTTCTATGACTGGTTGTGGACTTGAAGGGAACGACTTCCTGGCCTTCCTGAAATCCAGGAAAATTGTGAGATTCTAATCCATTTCAATGCCAAAAGCAAGTTATTGTTTTGAACTTTTTAAATATGGTTTATCGGGGCATTTCTGCTTTATTGGACAGAAGTATAGATCTACTGGAAAACAGTGGAGAGTGAGGAGATTTGCAGCAAAAGGCCCTGCCGGATGGTTTCTGCTCCGTGTGGAACGTGTTCTATCAGGTAAAGCACTTTGGTACCCAGGTATTTACGGTATTGAGTTTGAATGAAGCCTTTGGAATGTCATTTCCAACAGCACATTGTAAAGACTTTGCTTCTGGCCATTAGATTTATGATTCGAAAATTATAAAAGTAGGGTAGACATGTGGAGATTATCGGACTGAACAAAACGTGCATTTATCAAACAGGTTCGTTTTCCACACACCTTATTTTGAGCTAAAATCCTATGGAGAAATCCCATTGCTTTTTTGTCGAGGGAACCCGTAAATATGTCATCCCTGCACCGCTGTATTAAACCCTCCAACCGGAAGTTATCAAACCCTCCAACAGGAAGTTATCATCCCTCCAAAAGGAAGTTATTAAACCCTCCAACAGGAAGTTATTAAACCCTCCAACAGGAAGTTATCAAACCCTCCAACAGGAAGTTATTGAAACCTCCAAAAGGAAGTTATTAAACCCTCCAACAGGAAGTTATTAAACCCTCCAACAGGAAGTTATCAAACCCTCCAACAGGAAGTTATCAAACCCTCCAACAGGAAGTTATCAAACCCTCCAACAGGAAGTTATTGAAACCTCCAAAAGGAAGTTATTAAACCCTCCAACAGGAAGTTATTAAACCCTCCAACAGGAAGTTATTAAACCCTCCAACAGGAAGTTATCAAACCCTCCAACAGGAAGTTATTGAAACCTCCAAAAGGAAGTTATTAAACCCTCCAACAGGAAGTTATTAAACCCTCCAACAGGAAGTTATTAAACCCTCCAACAGGAAGTTATCAAACCCTCCAACAGGAAGTTATCAAACCCTCCAACAGGAAGTTATTGAAACCTCCAAAAGGAAGTTATTAAATAATAATAACCAAAAGCATAATAATATATTGTAGTTGTTTGCATCTTTATAACATGTAAAATTATAATATTAAAGATAGGTTAATATTACATTTATTCCTTTAAACCAGATGTATTTATTATAATTTGTGTATTTATGTTTTAGGACCCTCGAAATGAGAGGCTCCATCTCAAGGGGCTACCCTTCAATACATTCTCAGATCTAAAGTGAGGGAACATTTACACTGCAGGGTCAGACACACTGTTGGAGATCAACATTATGTTCTGCTCATTTTAATGACTCTGCAATCAGTCTAATCATGTTCTTCTTCAGTGATTACATGGAGATTTAGAGATTTTCTGAAATCTAACTTGAAGAGGTAACATTTAAAGTAACATGGAAATACTCAAGTAAAGTACAAGTACCTCTAAACTGAACTTCAGTATTCAGTATAAATGTTTTAGAGGCTTTGAAACGAGGAGATAAAGAAGGCCAGAAACATTTGAGACAAAATGACATTTATTTATTGTTAATGAATGATTTCTCCATCTGTCAGTAAATGTTAATCAATACACATCAGTATCAGGTATAATGTTTTAAAACTCAAAGAATATTAAACTAATAGTAAAAATGTTAAACTAAGCAGGAAGCTGATAACCCGTTAAAACAACAACAGAGTAAACCGATTACAATGGAAATAAATTCAAACTTTATGTGAAAAATACAAGATTTAAAAGTTATTCTTTTTCCCTTCAGCTGTTGATCTTCTTTAATCTCCTTATTCTCATATCGGTTGTTCTGATTAAAATAAACGTTCCATTAGTCTGAGTTATTGTTTAACGTTTAGAAACGTCTCTATCATCCAGCAGGAGCCACGTATCATTTCAGGACACTCAGCAATACAATCAACATTAACAAAAGTCACGTAGAGTTACAAATCTCAAAGAAAATAACATGAAGAGCAGAAAAAACATTTAGCAATAATCTGATATTTGTAAATGATCATAATAGAAAATAAACTTTTAATAAACTTGCAGGTTTAATCTTTTACATTGGTGGTAATGGTGTCAGGACGTTAATGATTTCTGCTCAAAACAATCACACTTTCACATTTCATCACATGGTACATTTGACTTCCTGTCCAACAGAACATGCAGATTGCTCCTGCAGGAAGATGTTTGAGCAGGAGAACAATAAAGCTTTATAACTCATTGATTAACACTAGAGCTCTAAGTGCGGGTCTATTTGGACTTCATGTGTTGTATCAGTGACGGAAGAAGTATTCAGATTCTTTACATTGGTTAACGTTATGATACCACATTGTTTAGATACTGTTACAAGTAGAAGCCCTGCATTCAAAACGTCACATAGGTCAAAGTATGTAAAGTATAATCAAAATGAAGCTATAGTAATAAATGTAAAGGTACCCGATGCAGAAGAGTAAAGAGTAGAGTCGTGAAGGAAGGAGTCCAACATTTCACTTTGAACTGCATTCCACCTCAGCGCTGGGTGGACCGGGTTCTCTCATATTCCTAAAGAACCGCTGATCCAAACCGCCTCACACGGGGCAGCAGCTCCCCCTGGTCCATAGCAACACACATGCCAAACAGGAAGTAGATGGGTCCCAGGGCTGGTGAGATCCTCTCAGATATGAAAACACAGACGTCTTCCAGTTCGTTGATAGATCTCCTCTTGGTCTTGCTGGCATCTGTTTGGTCTTGGTTTGGTTTTGATCCAAAGGATTTGTGATCCCTTTGGACTCTGGAGGAGCTTCTCTCGGCTCTCCTTCAGCATTTCTTCAAGACCAACCATCTTGCTTTGAAAAATGTAATCCTTAATGTTTTAAAAAACAGTTAAACAATAACTTTGTAAGAACAGAAAATAAAAATAAATGACCCATGAACATTTGTGTCATGGTAACTTGGTTGTGTTGGCCATCAAGGACTCTTGATCAGTATCACTCACCATCCTGTCTTGTTTGATTGTGTATTTACACGTCTCTTCTTTGAAATCATGTTCAGCTCTTGTCTTGGTCTTAGTTGGAGCTGGTCTTGATGCCCTCAGTTAAATATTCTTCACTATCAAGCAGGTTTTCTTCTCTGCCTACTTTACCCATGAGCTCTGCTTGTCCTCTCACCTCTATCAGGTACTGGACTCGTTGCTTCCAGCCTGGCTTGGCCTCAGATTTCTCTCCCTCAATCAGCAGGTCAATGTGCTCTGGAGTGGAGAGAGGATTTGGCTTCGGTGCAATCTCTCCTTGTCTGTTCAGACACTCAGCAGCCTCTGCATTCATTTAACCACTTTAGTCTTGTATGAGCCATTTTATGTGTGTGTGGAAAGACAGTTTTGTATTTAAAATGCAATATCATTTTTGAACACTTGGTGGCGGTGATTAGCTTCAGACGCCTCAGACACCAGAACTACAGACCCGGCAGAAACACCCATGTTGGGGAAATATTTTCCAAGGCCCAGAACTTTGACCCAGTTTATCAGTTTGCCCTCGCTGAGCACAACCTTGGGTGCTCTCAGTGTTTTGTCTTCATATTCCTGCCTGTTGGCGTCAGCTGATAGAGTTGTTATGATTTTATCTTGTTATGCACAAAGTTGATTATTCTCTCTGAACTAGCTAAATACATGGAGAGATCTTCAGAATTGGTTTGGCAGCAGCTGTTTCACCTCGTGGCACACGACATGTCTTGTGAATTCTCCGGCCGAAGCTCCAAATAAACCATCAGTTGTTTGTCATCAAAGTTCCTGCTCTCCTCGTGTCTCTCTGAGCCTCGTCTCCATTGCTTCAGAAGTTTCTATCACAACCCATACAACTCATTCATCACCACAACATTGGTATTGTGAAACTCTTAATGAACCTCAACTAAACTGCATCTGCCGACTGGAGAATCATTGTGTTTGTGTCTGCGTACGATTACCCAAACCTGAGTTATAATGGCAAACGGAAATAGGACATGGGAACACATTAATTTGCCATTACAAGTCTGAAGACGCTGATATTCAGCCTTCAGTTGGTCGCTCGATTTCTGAACAGTTCCCTTAGCCTTTAAAGCCTTCAAGTACTTTTCTTTTCAATCCAATGATTGTTTTTCTCTAAACTCCCTAAACTCCCATCTATACTTCTGGTTAACATTTTGGTGTGTGATTTTACCACAGAGATTGCACATCTGCCAATGATGCAGATAAACAATATTGTAGTGCAATGGGATCAAATAGACACTGTCCACTAAAATGTCATTGGAGTCCTGACAGTTGTTGATTTAAATTCCAGAACCAGATATATCTTCTCGAACAGGCCTTGTGACAACGACTTCAAATCTTATAATTCTCATTTTCGCCGATCTCCGCTTCATGCAGTTTAAGTTGTGTTTATTTTATCTCCTCAAGCTTGGCTAACCGTACTCTCAGTTGTGTTCTGGAGCTGCTTACTTTCTCTGAGATCTTTTGGTTGTTAACTTATGTAAAGCAACAAAGAACCTCTCCATCTGACCAGAGCCTCCATTTTCCTCATCCCTACCAGAGTAACCCGCAGCCGATGATTGGTTCTGTGCAAACAATGCAGAATGATTGAATTTAAAGTAAACTGGCAGCCCAGATTCCGTTTGGGAACATGGGAGTTTTAAAGCTCTGATCGCATCTAGAACTGGTGGGCGGTGGTCGTCTGCGAATGTCACCAGAACCTGGATTTTATCTGTAATACTGCTGTGAAGTATTTTGTACAGAGAATAAAACAGCGATGTATTACTTTGATCCATCTGAGCTAAATCATTTGGAACTACAAAACACACAGCGTCAATTTCACTGACGCTACGCTCTAAAGAGAAGAGATTCCTTAGCGGTTCTGTGATCTCCTCCTCGCTTTTTGTGCGTTTATCTCCAAAGCCAGGATAATCCACAACGGTCAGAGAGAAAGGGGTTTTAAAGCCCTCTTGGTGGTTGATTTTGTACACAGTGACTTCAGAGGTCTGGCTCTCAGCTTGAGATCTCGACTGATCCTCGTCAACTAACTTGAATCTGAAATCGTCCTCCCACTCTACACCAACAATGTAGTTGATGAGTCCATTGATCAGAGTGGAATTTCCAGATCCAGTTGTTCCAAGAAGCAATATTTTACAATTTTGCTTCATGCTTTCCTTGCCAAAGTTGTACCTCCGGCATCCTTCAACGTCCATGTCTTCTTCTGTCAGAGGCAGTTTGTAAACTGAGGGAGATTCAGAGTTGATCCTCTTGCTTTTACTTTTGAGGGATTCTGTGAGATGTGCACGTTTAGTTGTGCGGACATTAACAGCGATGCTTTCTTTGCTTCTTCCAGCTGCACCACAATCACACCTGACCCTGACAGCGTATTCTGTCTCTGGCTGAAGTCCTGAAATGATCGCCTTCTCAGCTCCCGCCATCATTTGCTCCCAGTGGAGATCTTCCTCTTTCCCCTGTTGGTCTGGTTTGGCGTACTCCACGATGTAGCTCAAATCGTGGACATCTTGTCCGAGCTCAGCAGGTTTCTCCCAGCTGACTGATATCTCACCTGAGGTAGATTCAACGTGGAGTTCTCCAGGAGGGCTGCAGGGTAAGGTTTGAATGGATCCACTGACTTCATTGGCTGGCCCAGCACCTACTGGTGTCTCTGCCCTGCATCTGAACCTGTACTCTGTGTTAGGACTCAGGCCGCTCACTGTGACTTCTTCAGCTCTGGATGCTGTCTCTTGTTTCCAGCCGTCCTCTCCTCTGACACAGTACTCAACAGAGTAGGAGATGATGTCCTCTGCTCCAAATCTGGGTGGAGAAATCTTCAGCGTCACACTGTTGTGGTTTATATCACTTCCTGTTACTGCTGCAGGCTTTGAAGGCGGCTCAAAGTTCTCATTGACAGAAAGGCCGTCTGTGTAAAGGTAGATGCTGGCACCTTTCTGTGTCTCGTTTGTTAAACCCACCGTCAGAAATGTGATGTTCTTGTTCTCCTTGTTGGCCTCTGCAAAATCACTGAAGAGCTTTGCTTTATGCCGCATTGCTCCCATCTCTCTTCTTGACTTGTACCATTGATCTGGAGGGTGTGGATCTTGGGCATCGTCTGGTTTGGGTGTTTGTTTCAGGTAGTTTGATAAAGTTGAGAGGTACGGTTCATCTCTTCCCAGCGAGGTGAAGACGAAACACACAGCCTGCTCTGCTTTGAAGCTTTCTTTGTACAGGTCTATTTGAGATGAGATGATCTTGGTGTTTGTCATCATGTCGGTCAGAGACATCACGGTGTAGATTTCTCTCTCCTTACAGTCCATCCACTCGTTCAGGTCCTTGCTGTTGAAAGGCGAAGAACATGTCTTCCTCAGTTCCTCTGCGAGCACAGCTTCTTCTTCTCCTCCTCCTCGGATTGATGGAAGTTTCTTTGCCAGGGTTTGTTGGAATTCCAGTTTGAACTGAGAGCACCTCTGTTTAAAGGTTTTGAGTTTGTTTCCAATCTGTGGGAACTGCTGTGCAGTTTTGGTTCTCAGTGCATCGTTGAACCTCATTTCCAGGTCACTGAAGTCCTCCAGGACACTCTGACATTCTTCAGCTAATCCTATACTTATCTGACGGACAAGTTTAGCGGCAGTAGAATCTAAACATGTCAGAGGCAACAGCCAGACCTTCACTGGTACTGCGTTTTCCCCGTTGGCTCCCAGCAGCTTTGGCAGACTTTGGTACACCTCTACTGCCTCCTGAAAGGATGTCGGAGGTTTCTGAATGAAAAAGTCTCCAAAGAATCTGCAGGACAGTTTCTTATCATTTACTTTGTCCTCGGCTTCTATTTTCAGCGAGCCTTCGCCCTCTATTGACAGGGAGGGAATGTTCTTGATCTTAATTTTCAAGTTGCCCTGAATGTCTCGATGGTTCTCGTTGACAGACACCTCACGGTCAAAGACTAAGAAGGCTTTTGCCCCATAAAGGATACCTGTGACTACATGTGTTGCTATTCCTTGATCAAAGACATATGGATGCTTAACTTTGCCTCTCCCAAGATGATTCATGGACAGTTCTTGGACCTTTGTGGTAGTTTTGTAATTCAGTGTTACTCTGGCATGATCTTTGGAAGTTTTAGTATCGTTCAGGTATTTGGCTGATCCTTCAACCTTTACCAGTCCACACAAGAAACTTGCCTTCAGTGATGCTTCAACATTTAGTGCTGAAGATTTGTCCTCAATTGATTCAGATGCAACTAAATCAAACTCATTGTAGCTCTGTGGTCTTTCTTCAATATTCTTTTTAAGATCCTCACGGTCCCACAAAGTCATTCCTGCAAAAGAAGAAATAAGCAAAAATCAAGCTAGAAACAGATTAGATGTTAATACACACTAACTTTTGGGGAAAGACATAACAACAACAAAAAGTAGAATGCATTCCTGTCAGCAGGAAACACCTGGATATGTTCTTCTACAGGTTGTTAAAATTAAGAGGGCTTCTTAATCTGGAGCCGTGAACCCCCAACTGCTGCGTGGCACCAGCACCGATAGGCTGCCTCTCTGCTCTGGACCTTTCCAAAATAGATGTGTTCAACTGTGTCTATTCGTACTCTGTCTTTTGTTTAAAAAAATGCATGTTCATGTGCACCTATATACTTGGACTGTGTGTGTGTCAACTGAAATGTATTAAAATGTCGTCTTCTTCATTTTTGGAGTGTGAGTGAAAGAGAAGAGCAAGACTTTTGTGTTATATTTTCAGTTTATTTTTGTGTAATGGGTGTTAATTTAATATAGTTTATTGGTGGTAGTTTGATTTGCTTTACTTTTCGTGCTTTTTGGTGGTGTTTGTGGGGTGTTTAGTCGGCTTCTTCTCCTGCCTGTGTCTCGCCGGCCAGCGTCTGACGCCATGGTAAATGGGGAGTTTGACAAACTCACGCGGAAGCACGGCATTCAAATCTCAGCCGGCTTCCCATGCACTGTGGAGGAGATCGGGCTGGCTGTGGGAGAGAAGGTTGGGCACAGCAGCATTAAGTCCCTGGCGCGGATGAACAGCGCAGTGGTGATCTTTCTGGATCAGAAGGTGAACCGCGTCATCGAGACGGGCATCACGGTGAGAGAAATGTTTGTACAGGTACAGGTACAGCCGCTGATGCTACCCGCAACCAAAGTGGTACTTTCCAATGTCCCTCCCTTCATAACTGATGAGTTCCTCAGTAGAGAACTGTCCAGACACGGGAAACTTGTTTCTCCAGTGAAAACTATGCTGTCTGGATGTAAGTCTCAGTTAGTGAAACACGTAGTGTCTCACCGCAGACAAGTGTATATGATACTGAACAATCGGAATGCGGAGCTTAACCTCAGTTTTTACGTTAAAGTAGATGATTATTTCGCAACATCATCAGTTATGAAGTATTTTGGTTGCGGGGAGGAGGGGCACACCGTGAATGCCTGTCTGAGGCGCGGGGATCCGGCTCCGCCTGGTCCGGATGACCCGCAGGCTGGGCCGTCCGCCGCTGCTGCGCCAGGACCACCCGCGGCTGCGCCGGGACCACCGGCTGTGCAAGGGCCGTCCATTGCGCTGAAACCGCCCGTGGCTGTGCCGAGGCGGACTGCCGCGCCAGCGGCCGAGGTGCCGGTTGTAATGGAGCAGCAGGTGGCTGCTGCTGAGGGAGGGGTGTCTCCCACGGTGGCGGCCGCTGGCGCGGCCAATGCGGTGGTAACTGTTGAGGGGTCCCCCTCCGGAGGCGGCCGCTGCTGCTGACAGCAACGCTGCTCCTGAGCAGTCGGCGGTGGCGCGCGATGTGATATCTCGGACGCGGAGTGGGTGAGGGTGCGCTACACAGTGTGGTTCTGCTGCTGTACCCGGCTTGTGGTGTGGTGGTGTTGCACAGGGTGTGGGTGATTGTGTCCAGGAAAATGAGGTGGTGGTTTTGTGTGAAGATGGGAGAAAAAAGGTTAAAAAACAAATACAAATTGTGAAAAAAAACCTGAAATATTCAATGAACCACAAGGTTATTTGGCAAAAGAAAATGTAGAGACAGGTGAAGTCAGTAAAACACAGGAGGAGGATAGTGAAACACACATGGAAAAAACAGGAGAGGAGAAGAACACATGGGGTGAGCAGGTGGAGGTTGCTGAGATGGAGGAAGAGGAGGTGGCAGCAGAAATGATAAATAAAAAAAAGACTGCTACTAAACGCAGGAGAAATAAAAAAGATTTATCAACCGTTGCAAAAAGCAGTAAAGTAGAGAGTGAGGTAAAGGAAGCAGAGAATGTCAGGGTCAGCTGTGCTGAGGTGAATTTTCCCCCGGAGACGGAGCGGGAGAGACGGAGAGACGGAGCGGGAGAGACGGAGAGACGGAGCGGAGAGACGGAGCGGAGAGACGGTGCCCCCCTCCTGCTGCAGCCTGCTTTCCACCTGTCTGGTGTCTGCGATCTGCGGAGGCCTGCTCCCACTTGTAGAGTACGGCTGTGCTGAGGATTTTACCCCGGAGACGTCGCGGAGAGACGGAGTGGCTGGAGCCTGCTTCCACCGGGCAAGTGCTGCTGTGCGGAGGAGGATTTTACCACGGCTGGGACCTGCTTTCCACCTGTCTTGGTTCTGCTGTTGCAGAGGCCTGCTCCGGGGATACCACGGAGAGACCAGAGCGCTTCCACGCTGCTGCTTTCACCGGTCCTTTGCTGCTGTCCTAAGGAGGATTTTGCTCCGGGAACATCGCGGATACTGTGTGCTGGTCTGGGAAAATGGCCCATATCGTGATTCTGCTGTGCCTGTTAACTGTTTTGGACTATGAGAAGATCTCTAGTCATCTTGAGAAGTCTACTGGATTCAGGTACACTCAAAGAAATAACTCATTGGATTAACTCAATTTTATTGTTGGCAGGTTTTCCATCCAATAAATATATGTGGCACAAACTCAAACTAATGGCATCCATGCAGTATAATGTAAATGAGTTAGTCCAACTCAAATTTTTCAAATAGAGTTTAAGTAAAATGATAACATTACCTTTATGAATTTAGATAATGCTAGTCCACCTAAATCCTATTTAATTAATTGAAAATGAAATAATGAGGTTAAATATAATTTAATAAAAATGTGTTACACATGATAGAAAACATGGTTTAGTTTTTTTTATTTTTAAATTCACATTATTCAAAACAATCCTCCATTCAATAGTGTTTTAAAATGAATGAATTCACACTGAAAGATGAAAAACATTTCTGAAAGATAATACCATTTTTAAAATGGCAGAGAAATGGAACTCCTATAATTAACTTACAAATCTCCCTTTGCCAAATACAATGAATACAATATAACAGGGGTATGCACTGCTCTTCTAACAGGACAATAACACATAACATGAAGAGTGCACTGCAAACACCAACATATGGAAATAGTGTTACAGTGTGTTGAAACAAACAAATACAGAAAAGCACAAATGATTGATATAACGGCTCAATCTGCTCTGATTAGGAAACTCGTGAATAAAATGACAACAATGAACTCATGAGTCACTTCTTTTTCACATTTCAATCGAACAACTTGATCTTCAGACTTTCGATTTTACCATTCAGCTTGTGCCCATCCAGATTCATCACTACCTTCTGCATGAACTCGAAGGTGTGTTTGAGGTTGTCCGGAAAGCTCAAATCCAGGGCATAAATAAGTCCCAATAGCATGACAAACCCCACAATCACGCTGCCCAAGTTGTCCATGACTATATTGCCTTCGATGACAATTCCCACGTCCTCTTGCTGCCCATCCACATCTCTTTGAAGTGTGTATATGCCCATGACTGTGTTTGCCATGTCCCTCTTGGCATCTTCAGAGGCAGTGGCCTGAACAAAGACACAAGCATACAACACATGTGTTAACTAAAACCTGAATTACTACATTTTATAGAAGCAGATTTACTTATGTGGCTCTCCTCATTGATCAAAACAGTTTTAGACTAACCCTCTGGTATCACTCAAATGTACTACCCAATCTGGCCACTCAGGATAAAAATGTCCACTTTCAAAAACTTGAATGATAAAATGATATGATAACAATATTATATTTAAATATTTTTCCCCCACACTTTTTGGGAAGTGTGGGAACATTTTTTAAATGGACAATTAGGGTAATTTGTACACAGTGTATTCGAGACCGATTAGAAAAATTGAAATTCCAAAAAGTATCTAGAAAAAACACAAAATCATTATAGCCAAATCTGATGTGAAAAATTACCAATTTGGACAAAAATGTCCTGAGTGATACCAGAGAAGGTTAGGACCTCCAACACAGAACTAAATTAAGCTTGTAAGAAAATGTTTACATAAATAAATTATAAAGATATATTCCTGTATGTTCTGTTTGATTATCAACTTTATCTTATTTATTAATTCAGGTATTAAGTTATTTGTTTACATCCCTACTTAATCATGTAATTTGTTGTTATTCCTGTAGTTAATTATGCATTTACCTACTTATTTTGATATGTATTTGATTATTTATTATTTAATAATTTATTTCCTTGATTTATGTGATTATGTAATTATTCCTTTAACAATTTAGTAATTGCTGCATTCACATACCTTTTTAAACATGAATCTATTGATTAATATATTTCTGTATTTCAGCATTTATTTATTATTTTATTTATGTATTTATTCAATTATTTATAAGTTCTTACATATGTATTCATGTCCATATTTATTTATTCATTTATAGATGTATTTATATATAAATGTAAATATTTATTTCAGCATTCATTTATTATTTGTATTTATTTCCAGATATATTCATGTTTTAATTCACATTTGTATTTATCAATTGTATTCCTATGTTAATTTATAGATGTATTTATATCTGTATAAATGTATTAATTCACTTTTTTCTATATTTATTTTAACACTTGCCCGATGAAATTACTTCTGTATCTATTTATTATTATTTTTTTTATTTCTGTATTTATTCATTCTTACATATATTCATTCCTATATTAATGTATACATTTATTTATTTCTGCATGTATTTATGATATGTGATAAGATATTTAGATGTAAGCAGGGATAGGGTTGTGTGCCATAGAATTTTCTTATTATAAATGTAAGTAATGGTGGTTATAATTGTGGGTAACACTGTTAACCACTACATTGAAAACATATTGTGATAAACATACCTGATAGTCCTTAAAAAAAGAGTCTGGATCCTCGTTGAGGTAGATCGCGATGCTTCGCAGGATGCACCCCCTCTTGATGTGGATGTTTTCAAACTAAAGCAGGGGCGATAAATCAAAGACAATTAAGCACAATGCATGTGCAACAGAGCAGGTCTACAAAGTAGAGGGCTGTATCTGTCGTGTGTGTCCCTAAGCAGGACTCCTTACCCCTACATTTCCACAATAAGCTATTGCCTTAAAAACACTATAAAAGCAGACAATTTCTTAAATGTGTTCATATGAGCATGGACAAAAACAATACAGTGAAAAATGAGGTTCTCTGCATTTATACTAACCAAATCTGATATTGCAAGGGCTTCCTTGATTTTGTGCCCCTTCACTCCTCCTTTGATCTTGAAGATCTTCAAGAGCTTGTCTGAGAAGTGGTCCAGCTGCCACATGAACTTTGATTGAAGTGGTGATGTTGTGATCCTCAAAAACTCCGCATTCACCTTAAAAATATTATTAACAAGCACAATACAACCAATTGTTACTTGTTTATTAGAATCACAACCATGCAAGGATGTAGACATGAATCACAAAGGATAATAATAAAAGACTGTCAACAAATACAAATATTTACTTACTTCACTCTGCTGAAACAGAGCAGGCCATCTGCATTTGAAGTCCCCTATCAAAGGCCTTTGCTCCACAATCTCAAGGCGTCTGGGAGAAGGTTTTTTCCATTTTTGCTTTTATCACCACTTCATTGTCACGCTTTTTCAGTTCTGACAATAAGGCAATTCTCTCGTTCTCCAAGCTTTCTGTGGTTTCGCCTTTTGG